ACGAACATACATTTTATCAAGGTACTTTCAGTGAATGATTGAATTTCACTAACTTCCAGTTACTTATGTTATCTACGTAAGTAACAATAAGTCTATAAAATTGGTCTAGTTCCCATGTGGTATACAATAGTAAAGAGATACCGTAATAAAATCATATAAATTGTGTTGAATATCTACTCATCCATCTAAAATGGTGCCACAGAATTTTAACTTAATAGGTAACATTAAGTTTGTACGTTTAAAACTCTGAAATGATTTTCAGCTGAATGGTATCATGATTTTTGCTTAAATTTCATGACTGAGATTTAGTGTGAGACCTTAGTCTTTCATTACTCTACTAACATTCTCAAATAAAATGCCTATTCTAAGCTTTTTATCTCGTTAAATAATGAGTTTCGAGCAAATGCAAAACAGCATACTAAACTATTTGTAAGTTACTCAGACTGATCATTGAATAAATCGCATAAGCTATGAGACTAGTTTACATTAGCCTAATTGATAATAAAATCAAAAACTACTTTTTTATGTCCAATATATATACAAAACCTTTTGTTCAAAATAACGTATATACTAAATAGCCCATTACAGTATTGATCCATCATCATTATAGTGAGTTAAACATATACAAACGAATATGAAAAGATGATTGGAAAATATTTACTTTGGTAAGCTAATTAAAAAAAAAGACGCATTTTCCGATTTTTATTCATCAACTACATAGGTGTAGATAGTCAGTTGTCATTTTACTGGCTTTCAAATTTTTGCTGGTTCATAAAAATAATGGAACACTGTATGTCCATTTCCCTAATGTTTCGGACTTTTCAGCATTACTATTCTATAAACCGAGACACAATCAAAATCCAAATTCAATTGACAATCTATAAGATTAGGGTTGCATCTTAAATGGCTTTCAAGTCAAACTGTGAACTAACTATGCGATTTAAGGGGATAGTCCTCGTCGCTAGCTGCGAGTATCCTGAGTTTGGTTACTCAGATCGTCCTCAGTGCAAGATATTCTCATCAAAGATAAAATAGCTGTCCAGTGTTTCCGATTTTCGACAGTACTTCAGGTGGAATCAGTTTGTAGAAAATGTTGTTTTCCACTACACAAATTTACTTGACTGAAGATAGCAATGAGATAAAAAAAATTGTTGAGATAAATATCTAAAATACTATTATTTTAATCAAGAGATTACTAATCATATAAAAGAACAAAAGACCCCTTTCAAAAAGTTATTACATTATAAACTTTTCAACCATAACTACTAAACTTGACTAAATGTATAATCTTCATTCAAAATAAGTACATTAATTATTTGAAGGGGGTTTTATGGAGAGTTCAGTAATTTTATATGGTTGAAATCATGAGTCAATTGAAGCTAGACCACCAGGGAAAACCTGTAAGCAACGGATGGACGTTTCGTCCTATTATGGGACTCCTCAGCAGTGCGCATCCCAGGACCTACCAGTCTCGCGCCAGAGCGCCTGATCTCTAGACCACTGAGCCGGCATCCAACGGTGTTAATGTCTAACTTCACCTGATCCACGACGTTGGATGCCGGCTCAGTGGTCTAGAGGCTAAGTGCTCTGGCGCGAGACTGATAGGTCCTGGGTTCGAATCTCGCGAGTGCGGGATCTTGGATGCACACTATTGAGGAGTCCCATAATAGGGCGAAACGGCCATCCAGTGCTTCCAGGTTTTCCATGGTGGTCTAGCTTCAATTGACTCACGCTTTTAACTATGAAAATATCAGTAATATTATACAGTTTTACCCATTTATAAATTTGAATAAACTAAAGATAATCAGTACTTTTCTTAATTTATATAAATATTTGAATAATCACTGAATTATCTTGGAATATTGGAGACGAAATACACAATGACCATTTATTTGAAATACTACTGAAATCAATATAAATGTTGTTGAACGGGAAGTTATGATAAGTAATGATGAATCAAGTATTCTTTGACAGTAGAACGAACATGCGACAATGAAACTTTTTTAATTAAATGTCACTAGATGAACGAAATTTAAACTGTCGATCACTGAAACCATGCTGAATCATATAACTTAGTCTATAGAGCTCATTCAATACACTCTGACTTTTGTCTACAACGTGACATAAAAAGTACCTGCTTAACTTAAAATAACTGCCAACCAATATCAAAGTCAGAATCTTCAATTAGAGCGTCAAGACAGTTCTACTGTACAGAGCTGAAACTTGGAGAACTACTATAGCCATCATCAAATAAGTATAGTTATTTATAAACAATTGTCTACACAAGATACTGAATGTCCGTTAACCGGATATCATCATCAACAATCTACTGTGGGAGAGGATAAATCAGCTTCTGGATGAAAAGGAGATTAGGAAAAGACGCTGGAGTTGCATAGGACACACAATGAGCAACTCATCAAACTGCATCTCGAGAAAAGCGCTAACTTAGAATCGTGAAGGGAAACAAGAAGGAGGAAAGCCAAACAATACACTATGTTGGGAGTTGGAAACAGATATGAAAAGGATGATTAGCAACTGGAAATGATTGGAAAGGATTGCTCAAGACAGAGTTCGATGTAGAATGCTGGTGAGCTACCTATGCTCCTGCCTAGGGGTAATAGGCGTAAGTAAGTAAGTACCTGCTTATTTTACTAAGATTATCTCTATAACATCTGATCATTTGTATTTTACAAACTAGAATTAAATGAGACAAAAGATTCTCACTTAATCTTGTCAAACTATTTATCCATTTTGAATCTTTAAAATTGTATTATAAAACAGGTAAATTTAGTTTCTAATTAATTTACATTTCATAATTATGAAAATAAACCTTCATTCATTAAAACAAAACAAAAACAACAGAATTAATATTAAATTTTAGTCATTAAATTATTCATTAAAATAATAAAAAGTGTAACCTAATTTATTAATGCTTGAAAAGAGACTAATTTTTCATTATATAAAGGTCATTTTATTTTTTTTTGGGGGGGGGCAAAGAATTAGTCCCTTCTTATTATGTTTTTACATGAGAATCAAGTTTGTTTTTTTGTTGTTGTTTCTTTATAAATCTTGAAGTTAAATCAGTAAAAAAAAGGTGATATTTGGTTTATAATTGGGATACTTTAAAATGACAATTATACTATTCATTAACAAATATTTCTATTTAATTTCCACGTAGAAACAAAAAAAATTCAAGAATCATTAGGGTTAAGTGAAAATCTATTCACAATAAACTTCCTAAAAAAAAAACTTTATAAATGTGCACTCATGTTAATTTCCCATGCATTTCTATGTAATTTATAGTAAATTCTTCATAAAATACATTATCTATTCCAACCATCAATATGTATGAATTACTGAAATCTACGATGAGAGTTTTTCTTGTTAGAACTTCTTATATCATAGTAATCAGTTTTTTTTTGTTGTTGATGTATTTATCAGATATTAGATAATCTTAGTATTCAGTTAAAAACTGGTGGTTTTGATTTAAAGTTTATGTAATGCATTAATAATTGGGACTATAAACCAAAATGTGTTGGAGAGTTAATAAATAACAGTAAGTGATTTGTAATTAACTTGGATTTGAAACATTATTAAGGTCGAGTACTATGTTCTTAGTGATTGTGTGTTGTTCTTAAACTTACATAAAATGAGAAAACAAGTATTTGCAGACTGTGGTTTATTTACCGTATCCATAAAATATTGCCATTCTCACATTGTCTACATACACTGAATATGTAAGAAGTTAGGCAGAAAAAACTCTTCACTAGTTATAATTCTCATCTTAGACATTCATTTTCTAGTGATTCTTAACAGCTAAACGTATCCACTCGTCAATGCATTCCTATCTCTTCACGATTAGGATTTAAAGATTCTATAATACCTTGGTTAGCAGGTTTGTACTTCTGCCTTCAGTCAGTCCATGATCTAGCTCAACGATAGATCTTTGAAATTTTATTCAACATTAGCTAAACAACCAATGACACTGGATGACTGTTGCCCACATTATAAATTAACTGAAAGTGGAAATATGGATCATCTGATTGCAAATTAGCTATTCAGTTGTATCGTTGACATCATGAGCCTGAAGTGACAAAATTCGATTGTTGGCTAGCTTGTAGATAGGTACTCTCAAAAATTAATGCAAAATATTAACCACTTGCTTACCATTATTATTAGTGAGTAATTAATACTCTCTCCAGAGTTGTAGTACTATCTTTTCTATTATTCTATTTCAAAAGTTACATTTCTCATAAGAATTATACAAATTGTATAGTTTAATATTCTAGAATAAATCATCACATCTCAAATTAAATCACAATTTAAGTAGTAGATCAATGTTGTTACATCCCCTGGTGAATTATGAATGGTAAATCTGAGGTCTATTTATGGACAAATGTAATATGCCTATTTCCTATTGTATAGTTGTTAAATAACTGACCTAATCGTATTCGTCTTCCTCTTATCATAACCTTTGTTTTGACCTTTGAACTATTATTATTGATTACTGTTCCCCCTATCCACAATCACATTGGCCAATTATTGTACAAATATTATTTTTCTACTTTTTGGTATAATGTGGTCTGTTTGGTTTGTATATAAACCCAATATGCTTGTGAATAATGATTCATATTGCCGAGGCTCTTATTTGTGTTCTGGACTTAACTAGCTGGGCTAGGCAGAAAGCAAGACCGATACGCACTCAAGACTGCTCGTACGATTTTATGTATCATTGCGCACATCAGTAAAATCCATTACCTCTCTAATTGGACGTTTATATATTAAGAGGGCATACTTTATAACAAATGTCATGAAATATCATGACATGAATAACTTCCTAATAAACTGTAGAATTGAATACTTCTAGATATTCATGGTTATGTTTAATTAGACACATTTATTTGTAACAGTTGCGCATTTCCGTTTTACTTCTATTTCAAATTACTACTTTCTGTTTGTCTTGTTTTTTTTACTTGCATTTTCTTTCACCACTTAATCAGCTATATCATGGTGATTTACCATGGATTCATGGATTGAATCGAGCTGCTGTGAATCAAAGATTATATAATACAATTAGAAGAGAACGTCGATTCTTTTGTAATCCAATGGGATGCGTTTAACTTATTCTGATGAACAACATTTTATAAACAATACAATCATATAATAATGTAATCATATAATCATGTCTGTATACTTAAATAGCACATAAATAAATGTCTTTCTTGTCAATAATTACTAAAAGTGAAAAATAAAATTAATTATACAGAAATAAATAGATTGATTCTTTTGATTACAATGAACGATCATAGATGCTCTAATTAAATGATGATTTTCTTTTGAGGTTTGATATCAAGAACTAATTTTAGTTATTCAACCATTAAAGCTCAGAAAGCACTAGACAGCTGCTTCGAATTAATATGAAACTTTGCAACGGTGTCGCTCACCCTACAAGGAATCCAACTCATAACCTATTAGCTACTTAGCGAACGCATATACTTCAGATCATCTGAAACGACATCCAACTGTTAATATTTCGAACTTTAATCAATTCGTGATATTGCGCGTCTTACCTCGAGAGATAATCTCCGGAGTACAAAACATTGATCACTGGAATAAGACAAGTTTCGCTAATGGCAATCGATGACATTCTTGCTAATAATAAACTATGAAACTCAAAATCGGCTGACCATAAGAATACATCACTTCATGAACAGTTTGGTATAATTGAAAAGTCACAAACTTTGTTTTCTAAGAAAATCTATGCGTCATTATTTTAAAAATTTTGGTTATCAGAAAAATATGAGGCATAAAATCAACCATTTTATTAAAATTTAATAAAATAAGGTTTTTATCAGAAGGGGCTTTTGTGAAGATTTCAGTAATTTTATAGTTGAAATCATAAGTCAATTGAAGCTAGACCACCATGTGAAACCTGGAAGCACTGGCAAAGCCGTTTCGTCCTATTGTAGGACTCCTCACCAGTGCACATCCACGATCCCACATCGCGAGATCCGATCCCAGAACCTATCAGATTTGCGCGCGAGCGCTTAACCACTAGACGACTGAGCTGGCCGGTTTCCAACGGTGTTAATGTCTAACTTCAACCAATCCACAAAACTGAGCAACCATTCACTATTGTCTTTAGTGAGTTGATATCTCCCACCAGACCTGACTGAACTCCACTGGTTACTGCTCCTCACTAGAACTCCTGGTTTATCCAAGCTTTCATGTATTAATAATACCATTTTTTAAACACTCAGGATATTTGAATAAAATAGAATGGGTTAATTCTGTATCAAGTTGTTGGTGATGGCGATTATCAATCGCAAATATTTGTTTTACATTTATCAACATTTATTGTTGGAAGAAACATGCATTTTATTAGAAAACTATGACTCTACTCATTCATAAAAGCTAGTTTTCTTTCTTTAGATATTACTACACTTGTGACTACGGTTAAACAATTGTCTCCATTTGAATCGGATATGTTCACTACCAATATGTCTTACAAATAGTTGTATTCATTATAAATATTAAGTGAACTACTGATCGGATATCAGTAATAAATGTTATACAATGGGATCCACAATGTCGATCTTGATGCTCTGTAAGCAAGTTGACTTAATCACTAACTGTGTCCAGTTTCGATACTTACTTACGCCTGTTACCCCTCGTCGAGGAGCATAGGCCGCTCACCAGCATTCTCCATCCAACTCTGTCCTGAGCCTTCCTTTCCAGTTCTTTCCAGTTACTATTCAGCCTTTTCATATCGGCTTCTATTTTTCGGCGTAGTGTGTTCTTTGGCCTTCCTCTTTTCCACTTCCCTTCCGGATTCCAAGTTAGGGATTGAGTCGTGATGCACATTGGTGATTTCCCTAATGTACGTCCGATCCACTTCCAACGTCTTTTCCTTATTTCCTCTTCAGATGGAAGCTGGTTTGTCCTCTATCATAAAACGCTGTTGCTGATAGTATCCGGCCAATGGATGTTGAGTATTTTGCGTAGACAACTGTTTATAAATACTTGTACCTTCCTGATGATGGCCGTAGTAGTTCTCCACGTTTCAGCTCCATACAGTAGGACTGTCTTGACGTTCGTATTAAAGATTCTCACCTTGAAATTGGTTGAGAGTTGTTTTGAGTTCCATATGTTCTGCAATTGTAGAAATGCTGCCCTGGCTTTGCCAATCCTCGCCTTTACATCTGCATCCGATCCTCCTTGTTTATCAACGATGCTCCCCAGGTACTTGAATGTTTCCACCTCTTCCAGAGTTTCGCCATCAAGTGTAATTGGATTGGTGTTCTCCGTGTTGCATTTGAGAATCTTGCTTTTTCCTTTGTGAATGTGGAGGCCTATCGATGCAGAGGCTGCTACTACATTTGCTGTCTTCATCTGCATTTGGTCGTGTGTATGAGAGAGGAGGGCTAGGTCATCTGCGAAGTCCAAATCATCTAATTGATTCTGAGAGGTCCATTGTATTCCGTATTTCCCTTCAGATGTCGAATTCTTCATAATCCAGTCAATCACTAGAAGGAAGAGGAATGGGGAGAGTAGACAGCCTTGTCTGACTCCGGTCCTTACTGGAAATGCACCTGTCAGCTGTCCTCCATGCACCACTTTGCACTTTAATCCATCGTATGAGTTTTGGATAATGTTGACGATCTTCTGAGGAACTCCATAGTGTCGAAGAAGTTTCCATAATGTTCTCCTGTCCACGCTGTCAAACGCCTTCTCATAGTCAATGAAGCTGACGTATAGTGAAGAGTTCCATTCAACTGATTGTTCAACGATGATCCGTAGTGTCGCAATCTGGTCTGTGCACGACCTATCCTTACGGAATCCAGCCTGTTGATCCCTAAGTTCGGCGTCTACTGCGTCTTTCATCCGATTCAGCAGCACTCTGTTGAAAACTTTTCCTGGTACTGACAACAAACTGATGCCTCTGTAGTTTTTACATTTGCTCAGATCTCCTTTCTTTGGTATCTTGATGAGATATCCTTCTTTCCAGTCCATTGGCACTTGTTCCTTTTCCCAAATCTTCTTGAATAGAAGGTGAAGCATGTTTGCAGTTATTTCAATGTCTGACTTCAGTGCTTCTGCTGGTATATTGTCAGGTCCTGCCGCCTTCCCACTTTTGATTTGTCTGATGAACATCTTGACTTCTTCGATCGTTGGTGGAGTGACATCTATTGGAAGGTCAGTGTGGGCTGGTTCGATGTTCGGTGGATTCAATGGGGCTGGTTTATTCAGCAGTTCCTCGAAGTATTCTGCCCATCTTTTCCTCTGTTCTTGAATCTCAGTGATTGTCTTTCCTTCTTTGTCCTTGACTGGTCTCTCTGGTTTGCTATATCTCCCTGCCAATTTCTTCGTTGTATCATATAGTCGTCTCATATTCCCTTCTCTTGCAGCTTTTTCCGCCACCGTTGCTTGTTCTCCCATGTATTTCTGCTTGTCGGCTTAAATGCTTTTCTTCACTTTCCTGTTTGCTTCTGCGTAGTCTGCTTGTGCTTTGACTTTCTCTGCTCGTGTTCGGCTGTTGTTAATTGCTAGTTTCTTGTTCTTCCTTTCTTGAAGTTTGTCCAGGGTTCCCATAGAGATCCATTCCTTGTGATGATGCTTCTTAGGACCAAGAACCTCCTGACACGTTGAAGTTAGTGCTTCTTTTATCCCTTTCCAGTTGTCCTCCAAAGTAGATTCTTGTTCTTTCAGTAGATCTTGTAGAGCTTGGAACCTGTTGTTGAGAGTTATCTTGAATTCATTGAGCTTGTCAATATCTCGAAGGAAGGCTGTATTGAACCTTTTTAGTGCTGTTTTTCCAGTTGTCTAGTGTTTCTTAAGCTTCAGTCTCATCTTGGCCACAACCAGGTGGTGATCTGAAGCTATGTCAGCTCCTCTCCGGGTTCTTACATTTTCCATTGATCTTCGGAATTTTTTGTTGATACAGATGTGATCTATCTGGTTCTCTGTGATATGGTCCGGTGAGATCCATGTAGCTGTGTGTATGCGCTTGTGTGGGAATATTGTGCCGCCTATAACCAATTTGTTGAATGCACATAGGTTTGAAAGTCTCTCCCCGTTTTCATTTCTCTTTCCTAATCCATGTCGTCCAATTACATCTTCATATCCTGTGTTGTCCACTCCAACTTTAGCATTTAGATCTCCCATCAGGATGGTGAGGTCCTTTCGTGAGCACTTCTCTATAATTGATTGCAGCCTTTCATAGAACTGATCTTTATCATCGTCGTTGCTATCATTGGTGGGTGCATAACATTGGATAACGTTCATTGTGATCCCTTTCTTCTTTGTTCTGAATGATGCTTTGATTATCCTGGGTCCATGAGATTCCCATCCCACAAGTGCATTTCGTGCTTCTTGGACAGCATTAGAGCAACTCCCTGAGTGTGTGAAGCATTTTCCCCTTCGTGACCGGAGTACAGCAGCATCTCTCCTGTACCTAGCCTTTGTTGTCCAGTTTGTGTCCAATGGGTTTCGCTGATTCCGAGTACTGCCAAGTTGTATCTCCTCATTTCCATTGCTATTTGGCTGGTCTTTCCTGTCTCCCACATTGTCCGGACGTTCCATGTACCTATAAAGAGTGTTGCTCTGGTTGTTAGAAGGTGCATCGGTTTCGTGACTTCCGAAGAATTTCGGCTTTCATCATGAGACGTCATAACTATTCCTTCAACTCCCAGGGCAGAGTTTAAATGGTTTGAATTATTTTTTCTGGTTAGCGTTTTTTAGCGAGTTAGCTTTTCTACGGGATAGGGTCGCTAACCCCATGCCCAACCCTCCTCCTTTACCCGGGCTTGGGACCGGCAGTAACTCTAGGAGAGCTACAGGCGGAATTCAGTTTAGATAGGTCAAAGAAATTTATTAAAGAACACTGATGAAACGTCTTGTTTCTCTTGATATTTTTCATCATCATTATCTCTAGAATGTTGTAGAAATTCCTTTTTGAATAAAAACTCAAACATATATCTTCTGTAGTCGAAATTACATATAGTGCTATTGAAGTACGACAAATACAAATGAATCAGATGAACTAATTAGCTTTCAAATAACAATAAGTTCTATTTTTCCTCAACACTAACCAACCTTTAAAATCTATCACTGTAGTTGTTGGGGTTTTTCACTGACTGACAATACTTTTGATAAATGTAAAATATCTCCTTAAACTTAGGACAGAGTTTTGTTATTTCGGTTGCATTCCTTACACAACGGTAGTAATTTGTTTCTATTGAAACCACTTAAGCAACGGAATAGAATTAGGTCACGAATAAAGCATGAATAAAATCCATCACCATTCAGTGAATATTTGATTTACTAGGCACCTCAATTTATTGTTTTACTCATCATTAGTTATTCAAGTATGTCAATAATCATAACTCAAATTAAACACTAGTAATCATAAGGTTGTCACTGTATATGAACACTGATCCACAGTCAAAATTGTTCCATTGGTAAAGGCTTTACAAATGATTAACAGCATGTACGTTCCAACAGATGAACTAAACTGATCTTTTTGAGCTTTTATGATAGAAGCTCATTTTTCTAAGCCAGTTAAATCACAAGCAACATGTACAAGTAAATAAATCACAATCAAATTAAGTTACTGTCTCTAAGATAGGAGCAAATAAAGGATGTGGTTAGTGGATTTATATTGCTTAAATTGGTTCATTTATGCAAGTCATAAATTTATAGATGAGTAGTTTTTTTGATTAGAAAATTCATGTACACACTGATTTTTGATGATTCAAATGATTTTGTTTCAGTCTTTTAAGTTTCAGTAAAAGGTAAGCATTTTATTTATAAGATTTATAGAAGGATAGTATTGTTTATTGTACAAGTCATAAAGTCATTTAACTGAATCTTTCATAAATAACCAATTGTTTCAGTTCGTTCCAAAGAATCCAGTCAGTTGTTCAATGCTTATACCTCTTTGTTAACAATTCAATGAAGAAGATTTTTGATCCGTTCCTTGAACATTTAGTTCTTCTGTTGCTAAACGAATTAGACAGAATGTTTATTTTATTTAATACGTTTGATTGCATATAAGATATATTTATATATTTTAAATGATCTAAAAACAGAAAGTGTTACTAAAGATTAAATCAAGCGTTATTATTTGTTAAAATACCTATGTAATATCAAAGAAATAAGTTTACTGTTTTTTTCTTCTTGATGGTTAACCGATTGATTTGATGTGAAAACTAAAAATAACGTTAACTAATTACTTATTGCTCATGTGATTTAAAATTATGAACTTGAATATTACTGATTCAATGTTCTATAAGCGAACATAAAAGAATTAATTTCTTTCTACGTCTAAGTTCATTCTTATCAGTTAGTTCTGTGCAACTGGAATTAGGACAGTAAAAACATCCATTATATATCTATATATATACCGAAATCTCCACGAAACCCCCTTCTGATAATGATCATATGCTCACTAGTGAATGGCTCCATGAGGTATTTCCTGGAGTTCTAGTGAGAAGCAGTAACCAGTAGATATCAACTCACTGAAAACAATGGTAAACGGATATATATATATATATATATATATATATATATATATATATATATATATATATATATATATATATATATATATAGTTTAAACAGTGCAAGGGAACAAAATAAAGATATTTAATACCACTAAAAAACAAATGTGGTCAAGTCGATGACATCTAATTATAGTCAAGGCGATATTTTGCGATTTTACGAAGTATTTTGAATATAATGAATTTAATTCGTCTATTTGTTCATTCTCTGGAGAAACTAACTAAACTACCTCGCGAAATGTTGGAAATTTGATGTTTTACTCATTGAGAGATTACAAATGTATCATTATTTTCAAGATAAATAATCTATGCAATACTTAATTTACATGAACTTATCAGGTCAAATTTTGGTAATGATACCTTAAACTGCGATCATTCAACCATTCATAAACGTTTAATAAATACGTTTTTGAATATATCTAAATGACTTTCGAAAGAAAATATCATCACAAAAATGTATGACCTTCAGCTAATCCTATTCATAAGACTACGTTAAACCACAACAGATTATATTTCTTTAATCATATAATGACCATAATAAAAGGATTATTTTAAATTTTATGGATTAATGCCAACAAACAAACCCATGAAACCCAGTGTTTATTGATTGACTGTATATATATACTTTAGGTGCCCTCTGAAAGGTATATATCTTGGTACCTTTACCCAGTTATTATTTTTTGGTTTTTTAATAATGGAATAAACATAAAGTAATTCATTGGATTTTAAATCCATTCCATTTGCTGGCAATTTTCGTTTTTTTTTACTGTTGATATATTGACTATAAACATAATGTTTTATGTAAGTAGGATTGTAAATTTTATTTATTTTTTTTCTCCGTACTATCTATTGTACTATTTAATATAGAACTCAACATGTAATATTATCCAACAAAGTAATTATGTCGAATGGCAACAATCATATACGTATATATGCCATGACAACGTTCAGGGTACATAAGTTGAATGTTATTTGAGTAACTCATACATGGATTATTTTATAAATCTAAATTTCCACTTAATTGACTTTATACTTAATGTTATTTTTATATATATATTGGTAAATTAGTATTAAAATCATATAAGGTAGGTAATGAGAGGAAGAGATAGAGAGAAATAGATGACAAAAATATGTCAGATTGATCTCAATTATATTGAATAATGTTATTCATAATAATTTAATTGAACAACATTGAAAAACATAGTTGCAATTGAATTAATATTTAATTATTTTTAGTGTTTATATTTAGACATGTTCATTATTGAATTGGTTCATATGATCAAATGTAGTAATCTGATGGTTAATACAGTGAAACTCGGAAGTACAAAAATTAGACGTTATGAAATAAGTAAACTAAAAAAAACAACCAAATTGATAGAACTTTTTTGTTTTTACAGTAGAAGATCCAAGGAAGATAAAAATCCGCACTAGTTCAGACTGTTTTTCAGCTTTGTCGTTGAAGACTTTAGTTAGTGATTAATACTGTAGTATGAACACTTAGCAACTGGACTAATTACTGCTATTTTTGACCCCCGAATGCCCTGGTACGGTCGGGAGTAAGGAGAGTTAGCTCTCCCTCTCGAAATGTTCTCACATGGCCACGCGTATATAGCCTCTGCTAGGGAAGTCCTAATCACTGCCTTCTCGTGGCATTACTGTTGTTTACAAAATTGAGAGAACAGAAAGTGAGTGTAGGGCGCTTTAACCGGGTTGGTGGACACAGAAAGATCACCTAGGGGAGTTGGAAAACCCTGATTCCAAACCAATGGTGCACATGGGCTCCAGTATCCTGAAGGAACAAATGACGTATGAACCAATCCTTGGTCACCGGCTACCATGGGACTGCATCTCCTCACGATGCTCCACTGCCTTGTGGATCAGATCTTTAAGTCAAAGGCTCCGGGCATGGCCCCCTAAGTAAACCACTTGCTCCAGTTTGGGCACCTGAGCAGTATCACAGCCCTCACACAAATCAAATAAGATTTGTGCGGCACATATATATCTGGTGCCCCTTTGTACCAATATTTGTGTGTTTGAATAAATAAATAAATAAACTGCTACGTCTCTCCCAACCTACTTCTGCTACATTTTAATGCAATAATATGCTTAGCGGCATATTGAGGCACCTTTATCCTTTGATTTTTATAGTTGATTCACATTCGCAGATTTCATCTAGCTTATTAAATTCCCAGTCTGTTAAAGTTCAATAGTATCTTATTTATACTACTGCATGTCTTTGAAAGCTAATAGCGCAAGAAAACTGTTCCTAAAATACAACGTCACCTAATGAGTAAGTGATATGAAAATAAATTAGACTGATGTACAGATACATCCAATACTTTCCAATAACTCTAATTGTTCATCTCTCATTAAGGTCAAAATAAACTTGCTTTATATATGATTACTCTATGTTTAAGTTTGTTGATAACATACGGATCCTAAACAAGAGTTTATCCATAACTGATATCTAATGCTTCCTATCATATATTCATCTTTAAATCCAAGTTTTATACACTATTTGTTTGCTCTCGATTTATATTTGTATTAAGATTTAAAATAACATTTTGCAATATTTTACTGTTTCACAGTACATTATGAAATACAATAGCTTAAGATAAGTCAGGGGAAAATTTTCACTTCTAATTTGTAGGGGAAAGAAACATTGTTATAACTTGACCTAGCCGTCGCCAATTTGTTATGATTTGACCTAGACTGTAGCCAATTGTTATGACTTGATCAAGGTCGTCGCTGATTCGTTATGACCTTACGAATTTAACAAGGACGTAATCCGCGTAAATGATCCACCAATAGAATACGCCTTCTACGACCTTCACACTGGGACAATGACGTTCGATCAATATGAGTAATCTAACGTCCTTATTGGTCCTTATCCGCCTAACCCGTCCACTTGAGTCCAAAAACACCAATAGCAGCTGCTGTAATGCGAATCGTTTATTTCAAACATACTTTATCTATATACCAGACAGGCAGACCACACCACACCATAAAATAGAAAATTATATTTGTACAAAACCAGGCCAAATGAGGCTGTAAGCGTGGGAGACAATAATCAATAAACTGAGCATAACTTAGGAACAGTAAATCATACAATAATAATCAATATGTCAAAATGAAGCTTACAATAAGATGAATATAGATATAGATAATCTAGTTACCCGTACTTCGCTACTACATAACACCTCCCCTTTTTTGAAGATTCGAAGATTAGCTTCTGATTTTAAAAAAATTATCTGTAAGTTGAAATTCTCCAACATTTCCTCCCCCACGAAATAATGTTGGATCCTCATATCTCCAAAATACAATTAGTATGACTTTATTTAGTACATATTTCTCGTATTGAACGCAGAATCTACTAGAAATGAATAGATGATGATGAACAATATTTGATTTTAGGTTATCGGAATTCGGCTTTTCTGAAATACCTCCATCAAATTCATTAAAATTTTCACTAGATGATATTAGATAACTAGGAGAATTGGCATCAAATAAAATTGCATTAGATTTTTGATCACCATCTGATTCGACCGACTTATTTTTCTCATCTTTATACGAAATTTCATCAGAATTATGGGCATCATTACGCGAACCCATATTATAGGCTTCTGTCTCCCCATGATTTCGAATCACATTTGGCGCAGTTTGGTTAACTGTACTGTTCCAGTTATTTTCTGGAGATGCGTTCTTCCAGTTTTCTTGGCCAACATCACGCAAACTGTAGTTCTGTTCTGACTTAAGTTTGTCTTCAGATATGGGCGGACTTAATGGTGTTTCATTTGATTCTGGACTCCGAGGGTTGTCTGCGGAACCTTCTTTTTCTTGCTCATCTGATACAATTTTGCAATTTCCGTCAGATATAAAGGGAATTGAACCCTCAACTTGGCGTTCTTCTGAGACGGTATGATAATTAGAAGTATTTGAATTGTAGTATGAACTAGTAATCCCAGGAATAACGCAATTTAATCAAGAAGTATCAGATGAACTCGAACGAATGTATTGTATTTGGAATTCAAAATTACAACAGTCATCAATACTAAGAAGTCATTGATTTATTTAAACATCACATCCGCCACAGCTCGAATTGAAGTGTAAGTGTCTGTAATCGATTGTTTGTCTTCTTCTTAAGTTCATCCTACATCTGTCCGATGGTGTATTGAATGTACACTCCGTATTATCTAGAATGCACTCATCAGTATTAGAATTAACAACGGAAATTGGAACAGACTCACCTGGGTTCTAGAATTGTATACAATCAGCATGTCGGTTGTGTAGTGAAACCATTGATATTTAGAATTTGCATCATGGACTTTCCAACAATATCCTCCCCCACGAAATAATGTTGGGTCCTTGATTCGCAATGTTTTAGCCAATATGACGTTCCCAATTTGCATTATCTCAAATCTTACGCACCGACTACTGTATGTGAGTATTTGGGAATAAACACTGATATATAATTTGAGGTATTCCATCATGTGACTTTGACTTGAATAAAAATCATAATACATATTCTTTTTGTTATTCATATTAGAATACACAGATGGATATACATTGATATATGTAATTAACACACGTGATTCAATTAGGCTTGATTTACCTGCGAAACAATCGGATAGAAAACATTCATCTGCCTCATATTCATTAGGATAATCTTGGACTTGATTTGGATTCTCTGTCTGTGCAAACTTCACTTCTGGGCAAACTGGTTCTCTGGTTGCTTCGGAAAATTTTGCTATCCTCTCTGTATCATTATACCCCTGACTAGGGATTCTATTCAACATGCATTGTTCGTGAGAGTATCCAACATATGACACAATAACATCAGAAATATGACTAGAATTCAACTCATAAGAAACATATTTTTCACATTCATGAGGAATATCATTAGAGATAAATTCATTATGAGGACCACTGACACTTGATATGATATCAGAATTCGATTCTTCTGAAATATTTTCCTCAAATTGATTAAGAGTTTCATTAGGTAATGGATCATCAGGGAATTCAACATCTACCATGACTGAATTTGGTTTTTGATCATGATTTGACTCATTTAACATTCTATTCTCAGAGTTGTAAGAAATTACATCAGAAGTATGTGAATTATTACGACAAACCATATCTGGCACAATAACATGAGAAATCTGATAAGTTGATTGGTTGAGAATTTTCGCCTCCCAATGACTCTGGGTTTCATTCAACTCTGGACTGTTATATAACGTTATACCTCTTCTAGATAAAGATAACTGATCATTAGAAGCATCCATCTTAGCATTACTTTCAGCGAAATGAACCATGGTATTACAAACTGACTGAATATGTCCAGTTATACCACATTTAAAGCATTTAGAATTACGAAATATACATGAATTACATGGGTGAAACTTGCCGCAGAACATGCATTTACTAAACTTGTGCTCATCATCATGGACTGTTTCACAACTCAATGAAGTATTATCTGAATAAATTTGATTACGCATCGAACTACGACGACTGTTTGAATAAGTGGAATTCCTGATGTTCTGACGAGTCATTTTATCGGATTTTCCTTTCTTACCGCATTCGGAATTTGTATACTTTACATGATCCAACAGAAGTTGCTTGAGAGTTGCATAGGGGAGTGAAATCGGTTTGTCTGGAAGTGCCAAAATCTTTATAAGGCTGTATGCTTCTTTCCCGATGAATGTAAGGAAATGGGCCACAATATTAAAATCCTCATCATCTTCCTTGGTCATAGCCCAGATTTCGAACCTTTCCATGTACTCCTCAAAAGCATTAAAATCTGAATTTATATTTAACCGTTTCATCACAGGCTCAGTCGCGACGCCAATATGATAATTAGAAGTATTTGAATTGTAGTATGAACTAGTAATCCCAGGAATAACGCAATTTAATCAAGAAGTATCAGATGAACTCGAACGAATGTATTGTATTTGGAATTCAAAATTACAACAGTCATCAATACTAAGAAGTCATTGATTTATTTAAACATCACAGACGGCCATTTCCGCACCATTATCTGCATTATAAATAATTTCTTTATTTCCTGAGACGTTTTGTTTAGTGAAAAATTTGTCCAAAAATTTTTCAAATAGTTTCTGCTGGAAGCTTAACATCTGCTGATGCTGGTGCTCTAATATTATCTGCAACTGTTCCAGAGAAATCGTCATTTTTTTATTGCTAATAATAATAATAACTCCAAAAACCGCCGGCAATTATTACAGCTTATTTAATTCCAAAATACGTCACCGACTGCTGTATTTTTTTTTGTTGCCAAAATGACGTCCCAATTATTGTATTTTTTTTTACCGAAATCCCCGTCGCCAATTTGTTATGACTTGACCTAGCCGTCGCCAATTTGTTATGATTTGACCTAGACTGTAGCCAATTGTTATGACTTGATCAAGGTCGTCGCTGATTCGTTATGACCTTACGAATTTAACAAGGACGTAATCCGCGTAAATGATCCACCAATAGAATACGCCTTCTACGACCTTCACACTGGGACAATGACGTTCGATCAATATGAGTAATCTAACGTCCTTATTGGTCCTTATCCGCCTAACCCGTCCACTTGAGTCCAAAAACACCAATAGCAGCTGCTGTAATGCGAATCGTTTATTTCAAACATACTTTATCTATATACCAGACAGGCAGACCACACCACACCATAAAATAGAAAATTATATTTGTACAAAACCAGGCCAAATGAGGCTGTAAGCGTGGGAGACAATAATCAATAAACTGAGCATAACTTAGGAACAGTAAATCATACAATAATAATCAATATGTCAAAATGAAGCTTACAATAAGATGAATATAGATATAGATAATCTAGTTACCCGTACTTCGCTACTACATAACAAACATAAATTTTGAAAATGTAAATTTCAATCAATTCTGCCACCACTGGGCTAAATAAAGTAAACCAGACGTACTTTCTAGTGTAACTGGGCACTCATAGCCTGTTACGTAACACAATGTATTTTTCATCTGGTTACCGTATGTATAAATATTAAGGTTTTTATCTGATTAAAACAGATGTGGCAATATGAAGATGGTTTTTGTTACACGATGACTTACGATGCCCTGAGAATGTCAGTAAATAAGTCGAAATGTGAAGAGTCAGCATTTGAACATGAATAACTCAGTATTCACAGCATAGACTGCACCTATATAATTTGATCAATGTTTTAAGATTTTGTGATCTGTGTCGACAGTACAATAATCTTAATTAGGATTACTTTAATATACAATAATAATAGCTTTATTCACTATTATTTGTTACATTCAACAATTCTGTGTACCAAGAGCCCAATATCATCACACATTTCTTTTTAACATAAACACAGACTGCTATTATTAAAAAATATATTCCATAGATGTTTTTAGCTGTCAGTGTTTGTCATCCACCTTTACCCACAAGAATTTTCTATCATTTGAACTACTAAGATAATTTTGTCTCATCGTTTTTAAGAAGTATTAACTACATTGTAATCTTTTCCTACATTTTAAAAGGATAAGGAAAGAGAAAAATGCATCGGCCACGGCTGCGTTTCTGTCTGTCATTCAGTATTTGGCATCGAAAAAATTACCACATCTCTATAATCGCTAGTGAGTACACGAAGTTTGCATTTATAGTGGTTCGCTTCAAAAATTTTAAAACAAAAAGGCTGAACGCAACATTTCCACAAGTTAAAAGCAAGTTTCGTAAACATTTGAGGGGTAGTCGTTTTTGAAACAAACATTCTTGTCACCCCTTTCACTACTGACAATAAAATCCTCAATGAGCGTTCAATACTGAAAACTCTAGGAAAATAATAAAATCTTCATCTTTATTTGCCTTTTTTTTATAAATTCCTTACTTAAAATGGATAATATGTTCAAGGTCTTTTCTCTAACCCATTTCTGTAATAGATTTTATATTTATTAAAATGCTCATGTATTAGTTAGTAGAATCACTTCAACCTATTAATTATAACCTTATCGTCATATATTTCTAACTGCATAAACAAAAAGTCATGATTTTGTTATATCGTGTGAACTCGTAATTATATATGAACGCCAATTTAGAGAGGAGTTAATTTTATTGATCGGACGCAAAAGATACTTGAAATCGTACGAGCAGTCTTGGGTGCTATTCGGTCCTTCCCATCTGCCTAGCCCAGCCAGTTGAGTCCAGAACACAAATAACCGTCTTGGCAATATGAATCATTATTTACAAACATACTGGGTTTTTATACAAACAAAAGTAATCAATAAACTGATTATAACTCAAGAATCGTATGATAATAAATCAAAGATCAAAATAAAGCTAATGATAAGAGAAACACGAATATGAATAGTTTAGTTACGTAACAATTGGAAATAGGCATAATACATTGGTCGATAAATAGTCCTTACAGTTACCATTCATAATTCACCAGGGGATATAACAGATTTCTAGTAAAAAAAAAAAAACAATAGTCTGTTACATTAATGATCTTAGATGAAGTAAATATCAGTTACTTAAAATTACATAACAGTCGCCAGATTATGATCATATTAAAGAAAAGAAATTAAAATAAGAATGATATTAAAACTTAAATATAATTTAGACAAAAACTTATTATCTATCGATTTATAAACAATAATATCAGATCAAAATAGAAATGGAATCAAGTTAGAAAACGTAGGAAAGATTGAGTACCATTCTTTTGTTCAGTTAAAACGAATTTGAAATAAAGATGGACAGTGGCTGGCAGTGGAATCTAGGACGCGCATTTCTTCTCATTTGGGACTCGTCAGTTGGATATACCTGCATCTCAGAGTTGATGTTCACTCTGGGACTCGAACCCAGTACCTTTCGCTTCAAACGCCATCGCGTTATCCACTTAGCGAAAGGTACTGGGTTCGAGTCCCAGAGTGAACATCAACTCTGAGATGCAGGTATATTCAACTAACTAGTCCCGAATGGGACGAAACGTGCGTCCTGTATTCCACTGCTAATGCTTGTGAATTAAGGCTATATCGAGGCAATAGGCACAGTATGCACATATGCCAATTAGAGACTGACCAATTGCAGTCCTAACACATCGATGGGAAGATTTTTTAAAAAATATTAAACGAGTTTGAAATATTTCAATAAACATTTATACAAACCTGCCACTAATATAATCAGATAATTATAATTCAAATTAAGTATTTACCTCCAAATAACTATCGTTAACAAGTAATGATCAAACGTCTGTTTAATGGTATACATATTTTGTGTTCAAATGAAATAGGATCATACACAACTATCAACAGTTAGATTTTATCAGAAGGGGGTTTTGTGAAGATTTTAAAATTTTTATATAGCTGAAATCATGAGTCAATTGAAGCTAGACCACCATGGAAAACCTTGAAGCACTGAACGGCCGTTAGATTTTAAATGCCTTTTTTTGTATAAGTAGTTCGTTCACACATCATTACTATGCCTAATAAACTATACTTTACCATGAGGAAACATTCTTGCCTAATAACTTTAGAATATACAAAAGATTCTAACAATTAACAGGAATAGATAAGGAAACATATAGTACATGTAGTATCTACGAGATTTAAATGAAAAGTAAATATTAGTGCTATTATCTAATTGTGAATTTTAACTGAAAATAGATAAAGTACATTTTAAATTAATTGGTTGAAGTTAGACATTACCATTGTTGGATTCTAGAGTGGTTCTAGAGGTTAAGTGCTCGCATGCGAGACTGATAGGTCCTCGGTTCGAATCTCGTGAGGCGGGATCGTGGATGCGCACCACTGAGAATTCCGACAAATGGCCATCCAGTGCTTCCAGGTTTTTCATGGTGGTTTAGCTTCAATTGACTCATGATTTCAACTATATAAAATATTCATTTATCAATGCATGAATGAATGAAACAAAAAAACACAGTTTTCAATTGAATTATTGGGAGAATATTTTACTCGATTGTTGTTATAATTAAACTGTCATGAATCTTTGAATGATTTCAACATAATCAAAAAAAGACTTTTAATTTAAAACTGAAAGATAATGGATTCATTAAAATTTTATTAATAATGATCTCATCACTGATGTTGTTTTTACAACTACAATTTATTGTTATCGTTATTAAAGATTTTGTTTTAATTTATCAATTTAATGAATAGATAGTTTGTAAGTTTATGTGGGCTTTTTAATTTGTTCTGACATTTAAATTAACAATATAGTTAATGGCTATAAATACAAGTGTATCTAATTAGTAAATGAAAACACAAAAACAACTGAAGTAACAATATAACTTGAATCATTCATTTTTATAAATAGTATCATATCAGAAAGAAAAAGGGATAGTGACAACAACAAAAAGACACATATAGTATTCACAAAATACTTTAATTTATAGATCCCAATCAAATCACTAATATCTTAATAAAATACATATGAGAATATGTCTAATTTGTAGTCTTCACACCATAAATTTGCATTATCTGAATGATCCACCTATCGATATTCAGAAACAGAATAAAAAAATACACAGACAAACTAAAAATAATTTCATCAACAACAATTATACGCCGACTAAACAACAGAGTATAGAATAATTCAATATCACAGAACGGAAAATGGAACTATACAAAAATATATGTATTCGGATGACTAGGAATCCATCATAGTAGTCACTTAGAAAATAATAATTTACAGACATATATCAATCATCAGAAGGGGTTTTGTGGAGATTTAGTATTTTTCATGAGATATATCAATGAGATATATCAATCAGTTTATCCAAACTAATCAACACTCTGAAACATACTATCAATCAGATAAATGACTAGTCAGAGATACAATTGAAAGAATCTAGTCTTATGGTGGTTATGAGTTGTACAAATCAAACGTTACATTGTAGAAATCAGTTATATAATGTACATAAAAACTTTGTAGGATGTTAATTGTTACGTTATCTGTTGGATGAGATTCATGATTTGTTCTATTTATGGTAAACAATCTCTATTTTTTCTACTTTAATTTATCTGTGGTGAATAATTTGTATCGATGAACTTATTCAGTAAACATATTTTTTATTGATATCATTGACATTTGATCTGTTCAGGAATCATTAGGTTGTTCGACATTAATAACATGATCAAACGTCCAAAATAATTTTAACTAATCATATTCAGTATAAACAATGATTAGCGTTTATCTAGCGAGTTAGTTTTCTATGGGATAAGTAAGTAAGTAATGAAAATAATGATTGGTCACTAATCATATGAAGTTAATGAGCAATATCAGATTTTGATTTTTATATGATGTAATGCATTTTGATATTATATCCACATGGTTTTATTGTTAATTGCAGAGTGGAAAGTAACAATATATAATTTAAATAACTCAACTCTTTACTCTGTATTCTGCTAACCATGAATTATGTTTGTAAATATTTGTAACTGAGTTCACAAATATTAACACTAGAATATTATGTAACCTAAAAGGCTATTGATAGAAGTCTCAGTAATATATTATCAGCAGAACTAAATTACCAGGGATCTAAACGAGTAATATATATATGTACCTTTGACTGTATGATGAGGTCTTATGCATAAAGATTCATCAGCTGCGTTCTCTTTAAC